AAAGCGACGTCTTCGTGAGAATTTATTTTCCATGTTAGACCTAGCAAGTAGCTTCCAGGGTTCATATGTCCTATGTCTTCATGAGGATTTATTCTCCGTGTTAGGCATAGGAAAATGTGTCCTCTCAAATTGAACTCGATTCGCTTAAGCCTATAATGGATGAGGATTAAGGGTCTGGCTCGCCCAAGGGGGGCACCGACAAAGACAATTCAAGTACCTTTACTCCTAGAACTGAATCTCTGTATATAGTAAATTGTAAAAACCCACCCAATCTAAAACCATGTCGAAACTTTGTCCATATGTACCCAAATAAGTGTACACAAAAGAGAAATGAACTCTAACCTTTATCTTTTAATTTTTTTGATAGATTATTTTTGAATAAATTCATGTGAACTAGAAATTATGCGGTTAGGGTTTTAATTTCCTCTATGTGTTTTATTCACTGTATTTTATTGTTCATTTACTAGTTGAATTTAATCTTTTCATATTTCACTAACATACATTTCCTCTCTTTGTTTATTATTTTTGCTAACACCTTTTCCTTGTCTTATTGCTTTGTTTGTGCATAAATGTTGTTAATACCCGAGGTATTTATCAAAATTAAAAGGCTTTTAAAATAACAACGCTACACGAAGGGGTAAATTTTTTTATCTGCTTTGACATGTTGGGACGTTGTGAGTTTTTTGAAAGTTGTTTTAGGATATTTACCTTGGAATTAACACATGTTTCATACATATCATGCCATAGAAGGTATGGATTCCCAAGTTAATAGTCGCATTAGAAGGTTTTCAATACAACAATGTCACTCGAAGAGGTAGAATAGAAATGCAAAAATGCATCAATGGTCCAGAAGGGTGCTTCAGGAAACAGTTGAAGAGGTACATCAAGCTGGAATACATGAAGCTCAAATGATGAAATAAAACAAGTTTTTCAAGGGTGCTACGACGACTTTGATAAAACTAGCCGAAAAGAAATAATATGTTTGAAGTCATCAAGCAACAATGATAGCCAACACGAGACAGTGGATGATGTCAGTCGTATATGTTTGTTCAACAAACGCATTTCTAAAAAAGAAGTTGAAGTGTTGGAATTGTCCATCAAGCTAGGAAATAGAAGAATAATGTTTCCTTATACATTCGATCAAAATTGAAGAAGTCAAGTAGTGTGATGTGGTTTGTAGTTTCCATCTGCCTTAGTGTACTAAGACATTGTGTGTTCTTTGGAAGTTGTTTTATGACGATTACTTTGCATCATCGCATTTGCATTTCGAATATTTTTATTTTGGATAAGTTGAACAACCCTTATCTTTTCTAATCATATATAATTTTGATAAGTTGGCTTAATTTCTTATTTTGGTCGAATCAAATTATTTTAATCTTGAATTCTTGGGAGAAATTATTATATATTTTTTTATTTCAGTAGGAAAGAGAAATATTCGTCCTAAAGTATTTTAGGGATTATTTTCTCTTCGATTAGAAATATTAGAATATTTTTATTTCTCCTTAGAATTTTTCGTTCAATAAAAATTGTATGGTTGAATTTGGAATAATGGAATCGTAACTTAAATTTGCATTCGAGTTCTTAGATTTCCATTATTAGAGACAATTTATAATCGATGGGGTACCAATTTTGGGCGTTGTGGGGTGCTTATCCTTTCTTACACGTAATCGATCCCCGAATCCCTTTTTTATTACAAAAAATAATGAATCTCTGGTTACACGTAGACTGATTTATCTTTTAAAATGATGTTTTCTTAAAAATTCTTTTAAAATAAAATTTTTAGGTATTTGATTTATCTAACTCAAAAGGTCGATTTCGACTCCTTATATTTCAAAACATTTTCAAAGAAAACCTCCAAGTCGTACTAAGTTTTCCCTCGTCCGGGCAAAAAACGATGTCGACAGACGTGATAGATGGACTAAATTGTTTTTGTCAAGTTCGAGGGCAAACTTGATCTTTTTAAAGTTTAAGTACTTATTTGATTTTTTTAAATAAATTTATTTTAAATTTATATTTTAAATTTAAATATAATAATACCAAAAATAAAAATTAAGTTATTAAAAATTAAAAGTATAGAATATTATTTTTATTAACTTGACTTTTATTTATATAAATCTAAATGCTTCATCTTGCATAAAATTTATTTTATATATTTACATCTAATTATATAAAACATAATTATTAAATCTAAATGCATTCATCTTACACTCATTGACCCTCAAACTTAGAAAAAAAATATAATGTGGTCATTTGACCAACGATTTCTGTCGTTGAATGTTACGATGCTGACGTGACACTTCACAATGTTGATATGGCAGTCCAAAGTAGGGGTGTTCAAAATTTAGGTTAACCGATTAAATCGATTGAACCAAATTTTTTGGGCAAATCGATCTATTACTTTTAAGTTCGATCAATTAACAGTTAATGTTTTTTTTAAAGTTCAGTTGCCGGTTAATTTGGTTCGAAATCAGTTAATTAGCTAAATTAACCGACAACTAAACTTTGAAAAAAATCAAGTTAGTAAAAATAATAAGCTATACTTTCGAAATCGATTCAAAATTTTATTTTATAAATTCAGTTAATTTGGTTAATTCAATTAATTAACCGATTTCGAACCGAATTAAACGAAAATTAAACTTTGAAAGAAATCATTAAACATTAATTGATTAAACTTAATCGACCGATTAACAAAAAAAAATTGATTCGATCGATTTAATCGGTTAATCGAAATTTTGAACACCCTTATTATGGACCGCCATGTCAACATTGTGAAGTGCCACGTCAACATCGTAATATTAACGACATAAATTGTTGGTCAAATAACCACATTGTGTTCTTTTTTTAAGTTTGAGGGTCACAATGAGTGTAAAAAAATTCTAGGGCCATGTTGGTTTTTTTTTATAAAAAGTACAGGTACCTCATGTACCTTTTTACCAAAATTTTATAACTACATAATGTTTTAAGGGTAAAGTACACAAATAGTCTCTCTATTATAGGATATTATTTTTTGAGTCCCTCAACTATTAAAAGTTACAAAATGATCCGTCGACTATAGGCCATTGTTTTGTTGAGTTACTCGACTATTAAAAGTTACAGATTGATTATCCGATTATTTATATGTTCCAAACTTATCATTGTCCATTAAAAATTAATAGTCATTTGAGTTGGACATTAACTTGTTGATTAAGATAATAAAATCTTTTTTTATAAATCTGGGATAAAACAAGACAGTATATGTTCAAAGATTCTCAACCATTTGACAAAGAACGTTCATATCATGACATTTGTGTGCTCAAATGTGAGACCTCAAGGGATTACAACAAGTCCCTTAACCACTGATATAATTGTCTATCGGTATTTGATAAAATCATATTTTAATGATGCCTATTGGCACTGTTGTTGTTTTCAAGCATTGACTTGACGACATATTGTTTCAAGCATTGGCTCGACGAACATAATATAACGAAGAATCGATCTATAAAATATAACTCAAACCGTTCTATGATAATATTTTATCATATTTTGATCGTTAAGTTAAGTCCAACTTAGATAACCACTAACTTTTCAACGATAAATGATTAGTTTGGATCATATGAATAATTGAGTGACTATTTTATAAATTTTAATAGTCTGTAGACTCAACAAAAATAATTATAAATAATTAGAATATTATTTTATAAATTTTAATAGTCGGATGAATCAGCAAAATAACATCATATAATCGTAAGCTTATTTCTGTAATACAATTCTTTAAATACGATCGTAATTTAAAAAACGAAAAAAAGTGATACTATTAACTTTCAAATTGTTGGATGCATATGAGAAACTGAACATCCGAACTATTACTTTTTCTTTTTCCCGATCATTTATCTTTCTTTTATGAACAATTGATTTAGCGTCTTTTGCAGGGGAAAAAAGGGTTAAGTATTAAAGAATGTACAACATTCAAATCGAAATAGATCTGAAAAGATGAAAAAGAATCCGGAGGATTATTAATTAGCTCTGATTGAGGATTTAGCTTTACTGTTACACGGGATAATAGCATAAATGACCCTTGAATTTTTAGTGAATGTTCTAATATGTTAATTATACTTTAAATATATCAATTTTATCGTCTATATTCAAAGTTTGTCGTTATTCCTCCTAATAATATCCTTAGCGCTTATTAATAAGATTCGAAATTATAGGTTCTTGGAAAATATTAAAATACCCTTATTGTAAAATGATCAATATAATTTTTATCATTAAATTAGAAGTATATTAAGACATAATCTGTTTGAGATGATTGTGATAAGTCCAAATCATCTTCATGCATCCTATAATTCGTGGGTGCTTTAATGGTGTTCAATCAACATCATCAATAACATTGATCAAACATCTTGGTTAACTTTTTTAATTTGTATATTCTATCAATAAATAAATTTTTATTTATCATAAATTGCTTTAATTTTAAGAAATTATTTTGAAAAACAGTTTTGATAGATTATTTTAATGATTCAAATGTGACATTCATAAATCCGTTAATTTTTTATATCGAGTTACAATTTTTTTTATTAAGGTGATTATAAGTAGTATTTGTTTTAAATATTCTCGCTCAATCACCCTGCTACGATCGTTGGTGCTCAAACATGAAAACTCTAGGCACAACAACCTTTAATCACTGAAGTAAGTAGATCCGTGCAATACATATTTAGTTTTAAAACATCATTATGATCTTTACTTGCGAAGCATATGATAAATCTATAATGGTAGACCGAAATTATACATATTAATTCTAAAGATTAGAATAAAGCAAAAGAGAGCATTACATGAGAATATTAATATATTTTCACATTTCTTCACTCATTTAATTTCATAAACTAACAATAATTAACCAGATTAATATTTAAACATAAAGCATCTTTTAAAAGGAAAAAATAAAAGGGTACACAATTATTTCCTTTAATTTTCAAAGGAAAACATGAGGTTTTGCTTAAAGCCTTGTATTCATTGTAGCTTGTTTACGCATAAATGCAGTTTGAATAACCTGCACAATACCAAAACAGCTTTAGCTTATAATACATGTAAATGCTATTTCATTAATAAAAACAAAATCATAATCCAACCTATGGATAAATCAATTCAACCAACCTATCTTATCTAATCTTTTATTTCTTGTTTGAAACTAAAATATTATTTGATAGTAACTCATTGAGTAGCCTCAATGGTTAAATTTGGTGTTCTCTCTTAAGGTACTGGATTCGAGTAAGTATATCTGCATGGTGTATACGTAACTTACTTGGATCGGTTAAGACAATGAGAGCGGAGGCTTTGAAGTCGCAATTCCAAACGTTTCTTCCCATGGACTGGTAGTAAAGGTTCATGGCAACAGAAGCATGGTTGATGAGAGTGTTGGGATAGAAACAAGGACAACCTTTCTGTATAATTTGGCAATCCACTTGAGAACATGCGTAGTTTATGTTTTCCAGAAGAGCTGCTTGGTCTGATGATGGCTTAGCCGTGCACCATGTTTTCTGCAGACGAGTAAAACAAGTTTCTTTTAATTTATGAGTTTCCTGGGGTTCAATTAAGAACTCGTTGGTGTAATTTACCTGTCCATTTACTATCATCAAAGTTCCTCCTGGAAAAAAATGTGGTTAGAATTATCAAATTAACAAGAGTAGGTGGTAGTTTTGTGATGGAGAAATACCTGAAAGGAGAAGCAATATCTGGAGAAAGAAGGAGAGATGTGCTGCAACTTTAGCCATTGAAAACCGTAGTTTAGACTTTGCTAAAAGGATGGGAGAAAAGAGAAAGAAACACTAGAGCTTTTAAAAGGGACTGAGAGATTCGAAAAGTCATACGGGGAGAAAAGGTCGGTTTATCGTAAGGCTACACTGAATGGACAGCCGTTACCTTGAGATTCTAGATCCAATCAACTTAAATATTTTAGGTTTTTTAAAATTAACACTCACATCCGATTTATTTATTGATTAATCCAGATCGAATTTGTAAAGATCTATTATAAGGTAATCCTTTCGATCTAACTTGTTTCATACAAAAATATCAAGATTCGAACTATTGATCTTGTTTAAAAAATCTAGTGCCTATTGTCGGATTTTCACTTTTTTTTTTCTACGTACAAATACGTGGAAAATGAATGCGGCATTCTAATGTTTTGAGAAATTGTTAGGATTTTCGATACCTTTTTCTCAGCAAAAGCAAAAAAGGAAAGGGAAAAATGAGAGCATTGAATTTAGCAAGTAGATCATGGATTTAACATCTTTCTAGGCATCAGATCTGACGTTCCACACCTTACACACCATAGATTATACCTATGCACCATGCATTGGATGGGCTGTAAATTAAACCTATTCACCTTTTAGGTTCTCTAGTATGGTGATAGTCTGGCTAAACAATGGCGGATCTTATTGATGAGTGTTTATAGTAAGATTTAAATTTTCTTTAGATAATTATTTATTTAATTATGTTCATTTTAAATTTTATTTATATTTATTCAATTTAAAAATTTTATATTACTAATATTTGTGTCTAATAGAAATTTTATTTATATTTACTCGTATAAAAAATTATGTTATAAATATATACACACTCACCTTTAAAAATATTTCAAGATCTATCACGTAGATAAAGAGACTTGCTTTGTAACGTATGATGCAGTGAATCACGCTGTCAAGTCATTGACGAGGGCACGCAATGGTCTCAGCCCGTGGTTGGAAAATTCTTAATATCGATGTATTAATGGAGGATGTAAAATTTATAAAATGAGATATTAAAATTTAAAAATGTGGCCGGTAAAATTAGATATTGAGATTTTTTTTGTTTTTTTATTAATTTGGGTAAATACATGGTAACATCTATTTAAAGATAATTCATAATCATTTGACATTGAATATTTACACTCTTGATATTTCTGGTGTTCGAACCTGAAACCTCAAGAAATAATAACAATTCCTTTATCATTACGACCGTTTTGGGGTATCAAATTAAAAAATTTATTTTTGCATGTCAAAATTAAAAATTATATAAATAAATTTTTTAAATGGATGAAAATAAATAATGAGTATCAACTTATGAAAATAAATACTATTGACTCAACTCTCCCGCACCATTTTTATCAGCTCCTAATAGCTCAAGGAGTTCAGTTGGAGGCCCTTGCAAGATAGAGATTTCTTCTTCTTGAATCAATGCAAGATTTGCCATCTTGTTGACGCATTTATTTCCTTCACGCCAGATATGTCGGACTTCTGTTACCCAACCTTCCTTCAAGATATTTATGCATTCCTTTACCAGCTCATTGTCTGATATTTCTTCTAACTTTACACCATTCAAACAATCCACCAACCATTTCGCATCCATATCAAGGATTACATTTCTTAATCCTAGATTTTTAGCTAGCATGAGTCCCTGTTGAGCTCCCCAGATTTCAGTGATCAAGCTATTTTCGTTCTCCAACCGCGTCATGAATCCACACTTCCAGTCGCCGTTGCAATCCCGGATTAGTCCACCTGCAGCAGCCAAACATGTATTAGATTTATACACACCATCAGTATTTAAAATCCAACTTCCCTCAGCCGGTTTTTTCCATTTAACCCAGCAAGGATCATTTGCCATCCTTCTTTGAGATGTTGTTAAAGCTTTTTCCATATATTTGGCAAATTGTTTAGCATAATTTGTCACTTTAAACGGGTCAACTCTGCCTTCTTTGAACTCTCTTTCATTTCTGTTTTTCCACAATCCCCAAATTACTGCCAAGAATAAGGGACCCCATTCCAAGCCATCAATCCCAGTTTTCTTTAAGAGGCAGTGTCTTTTCAACCACTCTTTAAATTCCATCGATTCGAATTGGTTGTCCTGTTCTCTTGCTTTTAACTCTTCCCAGACCCTTCTTACTATGGGACACCTCCGTAGAATATGGTTTATAGATTCTACTTCATTTCGGCACTCTTTGCAATTTAGATCATGTGTCATGTTTTTCTTGTTTCTTACTTCATTTGTATTGAGCTTGTCCAGATAAGAAAGCCAAACAAAGAATTTGATTCTCTCGTTGGTACGTGTTTTCCATATCCACTTTAGGTTTTCTCCATTTTGCTCACCCATCTCCATGTTGGATACTACTTGATAAGCTGAATTGACCGTGAACAACCCGTCTTTAGAGAAACCCCAAATAATTTTATCCCTTTCCTGGTTGTCGGACAATATTGGTATTGAGACTTTTAGAATCTCTTTTCTAGTTTCTTCAGAGATTAAATGTTGAATTCCTTGGATATTCCACGATCTATTCTCATCAATGTATCTTGCAACCTCTTTGCTTATACTAGGATTATCCATAATCGGATATATATTCTTCAGATGTTCCTTTCCGACCCACCAGTCCCGCCAGAATTTTATTTGTGTGCCTAACTTGATTTGCCACTTACATTATTTCTTGAGCAATTTACCATTACTTAGCAGTCCCCTCCAAGTGGAAGAACTATTTCCTTTTTTTTCTATCTCTAGGAACTCTCTATCCTTAAGATACTTTCCTGTGAAAACTTTGCACCAAAGATTTTCTTGTCTAGTGAGTAATTTCCAGCTATTTTTTTGCCATAAGAGCACAGTTAATAGATCTAGTTTTACGCAAGACAAGTCCTCCCATATGTTTTGATCAGAAAACTTTTTCCCAACTAACAAGATGATTATGCGCATATTCAGTTTCTCCTCTCCACAAGAAATTGGCATTTAACCTGTCCAGCTTCTTACAGACAACCATTAGAAGCATTGTAGTTTGCATTGTATGAATTGGGATTGCATTTGATACAACTTGGATGAGAGTTCTTCTACTAGCCATGGATAATACTCGTCCCTTCCAACTTGCTAATTTTCTCATGACCTTATCTATAAGAGGAGCATAAGTTCCTGCATTGACCCTCTTATGGATTATTGGAACTCCCAAATAGGTTCCCAAATCATCTGTAAAGGGAATACCACACAAATCACTTAAATCTCTAGCCATATTTGAGTTAATATTTGGGAAGATAAATATTTTTTATTTTTGTAAGTTTACCTAAACTCCCGCTGCTCAGCTGAACTCATGAAGACAGTTTCGAATATTATTCATTTGATCATATTTAGCTTCTGCAAACAATAAAAGATCGTCAGCAAAGAACAAGTGGCTTAGTTTTATTCCTCTTCTAGAGCACTTAAAAGATTTCCATAAAGCCCTTTCTTCCTTCTCTAAGATCATGTGAGAAAGCCTTTCCATGACTAGAATAAAAAGATACGGCGAAAACAGATCACCCTGACGGAGTCCCTGCTTTGGATTCAAACTCTCGGTGATTTCCCCGTTCCACAACGGCTCAATAGTACTAGATGTGATACAGAACATTATGATCTTTATAAGTTTTTCAGGAAAATTAAAGTCTTGTAGAGTTCTCTTAAGGAATTCCCAACTGACATTATTGTATGCCTTCTAGAGGTCTATCTTAGCTATAATCGCGCCCTTCGTACCTTTAAGATTCATAATAGAATGGACCGCTTCCTGAACAACCAAAATATTTTCCATCGTGCTTCTTCCTTTGAGAAAGCTATTATGGTAAGGGCTGATTAACCTTTGCAATAGGGGACGTAAGCGATGAACAATGATCTTGGAAAAAATTTGTATGACGTATTCAATAAACTTATGGGGCAAAACTGAGTAATGTTGTCTGCGGCAGTCTTCTTAGGGATCAGCACCAAGAAAGTCTTCAATATTTTTTCATCCATCCTTCCGAGCTCCATAGTTGTATTAACAAAATCACGTATAGTTTCCTTCACAATGTCCCAGTTCTGTTTATAAAATATAGGTTGAATACCATCGGGGCCCGGAGCTTTCAATCCCTTCATGGAGAACAAGGCTTCTCTAACTTCATCCATTGTGGCATGTTTGATTAATTCGGTTTTATCTTCTTCACATAATCTGGGAATGAAACTATCATATTCAATAGAAAATTGTTCATACTCTTTTCCTGCGAATAACTCCTTATAGTACGTGTAGACGTGATCACAAAGAGTTTGATTATCAGTAATCCATTCATTACCTATGTATAATCCCACTATTTATTAAATCTCCACCTCACCATTGTTGTAAGATGGAAAAACTTAGTGTTCCTTTCACCTTTCAACATCCAGTCCAGTCTAGCTTTCTGAAACCAAATGATTTCTTCTTGATTTAACACCTGGTGATATTCAGCTTCGAAGGCCATTTCTAACTCTAGAAGATAAGTAGAATAAAAACAACTTGGGGATCTTTGAATACCTTGAATACGTTTCATCAAGGTTTTCTCACATTTAAAAATGTTACCAAACTTAGTTTCCTTCCATTCAATAATGTCATTCTTCGTTTCTTACACCACATTAACAAGTGAATCCTTCTTCTTATCCTAGGCTAAACTAAAAACCGCCTTAAAATCTTCATGAGTAAGCCAAGCTGCTTCGAATCTGAATGGACATTTTTCTTTATCAATTGGAATTCCCAAGTCTGTGTTGACAAGGATCGGATTGTGATCCGAATAGACTCTGGTGGCATTTGGTTGGATGGAATCCCTTGGAATTGGTGGGAATTGGAATTCAATTCCACCAATTTCCTATGTTTGGTTCAAGTTTTTCAAGGGAATTGGAATCCCTGATGGAATTCAATTCCCTTGTTGGAGGGAATTGAAATTTGACCAAACTACCCTCATAAATCCTTTGGTAACTTATTCATATATTGAATAAAAATAATTTTTTATTATTTCGGGTCAGGTC